CCCCCCCCCCCCCCCCCCCCCCCGCACCAAGCCTCCAATGGTGGCCGCGTCAAGATGCCGTCCATATGGACGGCATCAGGCCAAGCATCACGAATGTTCGGGGTGATACCCCTCGCGAGGGCCATGCTGTCGGGGACCGACCGGGCGGAGGCCCGCCAGTCGGAGCAAGGCAGCTGATGCCATTGGCGAAGCCGTTCGACCAAGGGTGGCCCCGATGGAGAAGGTGCTTGCCCGCGCGACTTGAGAAGGGCCCAATGCCTCATGATCGCGACCCTGTCGGAGGGCCCTCCAAGGGGGACCGGATGGAGGGGGGCGGCCGGCATGCGGGCTCAACCGGGCGCCCGAGGCCCGCATCCCGACTGGTGATGATGGTTTGCTCGAGGGCGAGGGTTCCGAAAAGGGGCGCTGCGACATTTCACCGTCCGGCATGGCGAACGCCAGCAAGAAGGGAGGCCAGGGCTTTGGAAGCTCTGTGTGCATGCCACGCGACTGGTCTCTGGCGCGAGGCAATCCTCGGTCGATGCGGGTGACACTCGGCGACATCGTTCACCCGAGAGCCTGGTGATTCCAAGCAGGGGGATGATCACCGCCGGGTGGTCCGCAGGAATCCGCACCGGACGCGCAGCAAACCCACGATCATTTTCCTATGTCCGACGTGGGCCTCTTCCCGGACGCCGACCCAGGCACCATGGCCTCGGTCAGCACGCGCGACATCCGGAGGTGCTATGCTTGGCATGGCGAGGCCGGGCAGAGAGGCCTCGGTCCGATGGCAGCATGATGGACAGGGTACCCCACCGAGGCATCCGTGCACGGCCCTCCCGCATGTGCCCGGGCGCCGAGAGCGGGAACCCGCTCGTCCAGACACCGGCCTCCATGCCACTTGCCATGTGGAGGAATGAAGATCCCGCCCCCCGGGCCGAGGATTTGCCAACATCCGGCAGGAAGGGAAGAGAAAAGCGCGATTTGGCCGTGGGCAGAAGAGGGGGGGGGGGGGGCATCTCGTCCTCCTCCTGTTCCTGGCCCGGTGCCGGAGGTGCCTCGCTAAAGTCCCGCAGTCACCCCGGTGCCGTCGGGGAGTTGTGGACGCCCTGGACGCGGGACCGATGGTTTTCCCCGCCCGAACGCCGGCCAGGCATTCCCGATCACATCCGTCCTGATGATGGCCCCTCGACGGGCGCCTGCCTCCAGATGGCAGCCAGCCCCTCCATCCCCCCCTCCCCGCGGCAGGGGTTGATGAGAAGTCCCCCCCTCGAGGAGGGGAGGAACAAGCGTCGATGGTTTAGTGGTAGAATTGCCGCCTGCCACGCGGTAGACCCGGGTTCGATTCCCGGTCGACGCAGGCCCGCTCGTTTAGCTCAGTGGTAGAGCGCCAGTCTAGTAAACTGGAGGTCGGGTGTTCGATCCACCCAATGAGCACGTTATTTTTGCTTCATTGGCCGCCCACATATAACTGACACGCGCATCGCCGGCCACCGAAGCTCGGTGAGGCCGGGGCAGGCCCTGCGCTTTTTCCTTCCTCCCGGGGCCCCCCGGCTGCCGGTGTCGAACAATTACTGGCCCAAAAGATGGGGCAGCTTTGGCGCGGGCAAGCCTCCGTGGCGCGTGCTGGTCACCGGTGCTTGCCTTGTATCATTTTTGCGAGAAGAAGGTGCATGCCTGTGCCCCCACATCATCTTGGCGGAGCCTGATCGCGAGTGTGCAAAAATGCAAGTGTGGATACCCAGAATCGAACTGGGGCCGAGTGGGCCACAACCACTTATACTAACCACTATACGATATCCACATCACTGGGAGAGCCTCCCTCCAATGGCACTCAAATAAGACGAGGTCACAGTGCCTCGCCATGGTGTGCCTCTCTCCGTCAGGGAAACCCCGCCAGAGAAGGGGCTTGCCCCGCCGGGAAAGCCGTGTCAGGTGTGGAAAACCAAGCTTGCGCATGCCTGCCCCCGGCAAAAACACATCGGCCGGGCGGACCGCCGGGAGGTGTTCCCGGCCTTCGCGCGCGCGCAGAACCTCCCCCGTCGGCCTCCAGTCCGACATGGGTCTGCCCGAGGGGGGACAGCGGCCTCCCCGCTGCCCCCCGATCGGAAGCATGCCACCGGCCCAGATCGCAGCGTGGTCCTTGGTGAGCTCTCGTCCGCGATCCTCGCTGCTTGTGTGGGGTGCCCTTTGCTCCTGGCCAGATCCCCATACTTGCCAAGGCCTGGGTGCGAATGCCCCGGCTGCGGTAAAAGAAGGCGGCCGGCCTCGCCCGCATGCCTGATGCTTCGGCATCGCTGCCTATCGTATATTCCTCCCTGGTAGACAAAAAGCCCCGGCAGTTTGCCTACTCACGCGTTGCCCGAACCCTACCCAGGGATCACATCGCTGCGTTTGACAAGTGTGAGCCCCGGGCAGGGCTCGTCACAGCCGGCCCTTTACGTGGGGAATAATGCAGCGACCGGGGAGGGAAAGGAACTTGCGAGTCCCGCTCCTCCACAGATCCCGTTGGTCTGGGGGTTCTGCGCCCTGTTCCGGCATCTTTGACACATTCAGCGTCGGGCTCCCGGTGCCTCTTGCGCGCCGTCCACAGTCGACGCGGCGGCCCCAGGCGGGGCCCCAGCAGGCGGCCAGGAGAGGACTGATGCGTCCGGAGGGGATGGTGGCGGAGGTCCTGAGGCCGAAGTGGCGGGGGCAAGGGGGGGGGGGGGGGGGAGAGAGAGAGAGAACAGGGAGGTGCTACTGGGAATCCGCCTTGCGAGCCAGGCCACTTGCCGTGGGCTCAGTGCTGGTGGGCCCCCGAGCC